GCGCAGCTCAGGCCGCAGCCCAGACCAACTCCAACGCTGCAGGCAAACAGCTACGCAAAGAGTCCCAGAAAGACCGCAAGAACCCGTTGCCCCCCAATGTCGGCGTGACTGACAAGAAGGAGGAGACGCAGCCGCCCGTGGCGCTTAAGAAAGAAGGTAAAGCCGGGGTAGGAGGTGGGGGAGACCCGGGCTGGAGGGACGGAGCGAGCGTACTTGCGGTTGCCACTTGCTCCTGGAACTGCGAGGGTCCGCGGGAGACTTTGCCGCCGATCGCCTCAGGTTGTTTCTCCCACGCGACAAAAGCCAGTTCCTGCGAAGGTGCTGGGAGCGTGGTAGCCTCAAGTTCAAGCCACCGCCTGCAAGGTTCCCGGAACCACCCCCTTCCCGCCTTGGGTTCTGAGCGGAGCAGCGTGCTCGGGTCCTGGAGGCTGTTGCCGCTTTCCCGCCGGATTCCTTGGCCGGCGTGCGCAAGGACTGAGGTGCCGGGAGGCCCCCCGCTCCCTGAAGCTTTTCGTAGTTACGGCGAAGCTTGGGGTCCACAGCTCCCTGCGCAGAGCTGTACCTCAGCCTGCCCTTGTGCGGGGCTGTGTTCTGTTTTAGACTCCTGTCCTGCCATCTTGCCCCACGATGGCGCGGAGTACCCCGGTGGAAAGCTGGGGGGTCCGAGTTTGCCCTGCAGCTGTCTCTGCGTTCCACCGGTCCGATGTCGGAGAGCTGCTGTTGGGATGCCGGTGTGTTTTATTGTTTCCTATCAACTATTGTATTCTTACTCTTCACTTGCTGGAGTGAGTTAAGCTGTTGAGAGCTTTTGGCTCCACTCGATTTAGCAGAAGGGAGAATTGGGAATGATCATGGTTTTGTAGGGAATCTTGAGGGTCGCCCTCGTGTCACGTTGCTTTCTCCCGACTCCTTCCCATGTTTCGTCTGGTATAGCCTGGCCTGGGCCTCGTGGGGGAAATGAGTGCAGAACTGTGACACAATGTGAGCCCCAGCAGAACACTTCAGAGCCTGCAGCTTTTCCTCCACATGTGCATGAAGCATGGTCAGGATCGCCCAGGCGGTTGAGTTTCCAGGGCACTCCGAATTTCATAGGATTTCATAGGATTATCTTGGTTTCTGCGTTTTCATTCATTATTGGTTTCTTGTGGATGAAGAAGAGGGTCTGAGCAAACATGATCAATAGCAAGTAGTTGTATGATCTAAGCCCTGAATCTTTAAAGTTCCCTTTATGTGTTGAAAGTTGACCTTACCCCTTACTGCCACGTGCTACCGAAAGTTGTTTCTCATTAGGTTTAGTTGAGTTCTGTAGCATTCAACTAATTTAAAAAATACATAAAAACGACTTTACTTGTGCTAGGTTTTGGTTTAGGAAATTTCTTTTCTTTTTTTTTTTTTTTTTTTTTTTTTTTTTTTTTTTTTAAAGAGCTTTTTTGAGCCTTGAAATGCAAAACCTGGGACCTTAGGTGGTAAATAAGAGAAATTCTGTACTAAAATTATAGGTTGATAGAAGGCAGGGTGGGAGTATTAGAAAACATATACCACTTAAGCCAAATATCTGTTCAACCAATTAAGCTTTACGGAATCAAGCTTTATTGAATAGATCATAATTCCTGTGGTGAGGGTCATACTGGCCAATTAGTTAAAACTATGCTCAAGTTTACTTCTCTGATCACACTGATCCAAAGTACATGAAAAAGTTGAATCCGAAGCTTAAATCTAAAAGGTACTAAGTAGATGGGTTCACTCATTTAGAACATTCACAGCTTGAAGCATGGTTTAAATGCTTCAGATGTATTGATCATAAATTCCATCTAAGCTTTTATCTAGTATTTTAAGTTACACAGGTAGGGAGGTGTTTAATAAATTTGTAACTAGAACTGAGTTTGCCCTTCAGTTTTTCCTTGGGAAAACTATTTCATATAACCTGTCACCATTTTCCTTAGGTCAGTATTTCAGAGAGCTCTTTGCTTAACTTGCGTAAAATGCAACCTTATTAAAAAGAGTGGAAAAGTTGAGTGAAAAATACTCATTTTGAGATTCAGCCACCTGTCAGTCAATAATGTTCCATACATTAGGGATGGATAGACTTGTAAACAAATTCCCTGCCTCTTAACAGTGGGAAGGATTGTTTGATACTCTGATCAGGTGTTCTGTGTCTTTAATAATAGCCCTTACACAATGCTGGACATGCTTTAGATGGGTATTTAATGTTTATGTTATGTTCTTTAATTTTGTAGTTTGTCTTTTGTCCATTTGACCACAGCATGTCACTGTGTCAAGATGTGTATGTTTGTGCCTTGTTCTTAGAAAAAGCCTGCAATTAGTGTGCCTCCAAGTATGGGTGAATATATCAAAGGAAGCTTACATTTTAAAAATGTCAATCATTTTTCATTGGGTGAATTTCTTTAGTCGTTTTTTAAGTTCATAAACGTAATATTGCATATTGGGTGGGGAAGCAAGCCATTGTTCATTTGGGTGTGTTTGGCTTGGATGTCATTATAAGGACTGGTTCCATAGCTCCACCCCATACACTACCTCTGATGAAATTTATTTAAATACCTTGGCGTAAGGTCTAACATTTGTGGTGTGTTCTGAGAGTTTACAGGAGTGAGCCTTAACATTTTATTAAAGAGTTGGATATTTACTGTTTTGTTTTAGTTGCGGGCAGCTCAACACTTGGGTGTATCCTGATAAGTGTTCCACTTTTCTTAGAAAGAACCACAGTGAATCAACTGAAGATCTTGTAGAACCAATTCCTAAGTTGCTTTTTGAGTTTGTCAGAAATTGTTGTTTGGGAGTTTACAGCATACCTGACATCTTAACTGTCATGATTTTTAAGGCCATACGATCTCAGACATTAACATGAAAAAAGTAGTAGGGGGGAATCATTCTGCTTCAGTTATCTCTTAGTGCCTATTTCTTAAATACTGTTTAGGAAGAGTCCTTTATGTGTGTGGTTTTTAAAAATTCTTTGAAACAGGTGTTTTTAAGGGCAAACAAAAAAGCTGCATCCATAATGCAGAATAACTGAGCTATTTCTTAATGATTGCATGATAGTACTTTTTACTAAATTGTGTAGCACACGCGCACATATGTGTACACATGTACTGGGGTCTTCAGACAGTTTCTGGAAAAATAGAACTAAAGCATGCGTTTGTTCTGATGTGAAACATTTGAAATCTGCATTTTTCTTAATTGGCATTTTCCATTTATGTGTTTATATTACATATTGAAAACTAATTGAAAGATGGCATTTCTGATTGAATAGCTATTTGAAGCTGTTGGGATGTTCTCTAGTGATTGTAAATGTTTTTCTTTCATATTTGTAATTTCATGTAGTTACTGGTCATTTTACTAATTTTTTTTCCTAGTATAGTTGGATCTTTGTTTTTAGGGGCTATATTTAATTATTGATTTACTTGTTATTTATGAATGGCTGTTGGTATTATCTTCTTTAGTATCTTTAAAGCCAAAATGTATCATCTGCCTAACATTTCTTTGAATGTTCATATTGGGCATCTTGAAAATTAAGAGGAATAATTGGCTATCCAAATGATTTCAAGTCAGTTTCAGAGGATGTGTGTGCATTTAGAGGAAGGGGATCACTTGGCAAACCAAATTCAACTCCCCACCTGCCACCCCCTTTGCTATAGGGTGCTTATGGGGGGAGGGAAAGTGTTACTGCATTCATTCTTCCTCTCAGGATTTTGGGCATGCACACCCAAATATACCCTTCATGTTTTTCAAGTTTCTGGCTCTGGGACTTGAACTCCACTGTCAGCTTTGTGGGCTTCAGCCACCTTAACCACCATGCCACCTGGCTGACCCATTAGAACTTCAAACAAAATTTATTGCCTTTAGATCCTAAAATACTTTGTTATATATAAGAGATATCCTTTGCCTTTCTCAACCAAAAGTATTAGAGGACTGAGAGTATGGATTTTTAATTAACAGCCTAGGTCTGAAAATATTACAGGTTGTGAAAGTAATCTCTCCTTATTTTAATTGCTAGAAGCCACATTTTAATTGCTAGAAGCCACATGTACTCACCAGTGAGACAAGAGAGCACAAGTAAGCCCCCCTCATTGGGATGTGATCATGCTGCAGTCCTTTTTCTGCATTTCTTCAATCCATCAGGATTTGGGATACACATATTTTTTAAGCCCCTGGGGCCATGATTCAAGTCTCAGTAGGCCACGTGGGATCCAGCTACCTTACCTGCTAGATTGGTCCCAAAATAATTTCTTATGCAGGTTATTTATCATTTTAGGAATAAGACGCGTTGGAAGGCGGCCTGATCAACAACTTCAGGGTGATGGGAAAATAATTGATAGGAGACCGGAAAGGCGACTGCCACGTGAAAGAAGATTTGAAAAACCACTTGAAGAAAAGGGTGAAGGAGGTGAATTTTCAGTTGACAGGTAACCTTTTCATCTCTTTATGCTTTGTCGGTTTATAGAGTCACATGAAGCTGTAAGTTGGGCATGACTGCCAGGTAGTAATGTGGCTGGTTCAGAATCTGAATGTCTACATGTGCTTGTGGGCAGATGGTTAGAACTTAGATCCCTTGTCATGAAACATTTGAATTGATGGCCAATTTCTTTGCCTTGTTTTCTCCAGGTGTTGAGTTAAAAGGTTAATGGTTAATGATTATTCATTATGCAAGTTAGAGATAATTGTTTTCATTTTAAAGCATGTAATTGTTAGGTTATGAGCCAGTGAACATACTTGATATTTTTGAGTCTTTGGATTTTTCTTACCATTTTTCTAAAAACTGTGGAAGTATAATTATTTTTAAATTTGTATTGTAGACCTATAATTGACCGACCTATTCGAGGCCGTGGCGGTCTTGGAAGAGGTCGAGGAGGCCGTGGACGTGGAATGGGCCGAGGAGATGGATTTGATTCCCGTGGCAAGCGTGAATTTGATAGGCATAGTGGAAGTGATAGATCGTAAGTCTTACTGACCTTTTATCTTATTTTATGTTTTAGTGTATTTATTTAATAAAAGACAAAATTTGAATTTCTAGAGCCAAAGAGTATTATGTTAACTCAGTTTTGTTAGTTCTTTTTCACATTACAGTGGCCTGAAGCATGAGGACAAACGTGGAGGTAGCGGATCTCACAACTGGGGAACTGTCAAAGATGAATTAACGTTGGTATTCTCATTTTTTTTTAAATAAGTAAATTTAATAACATTGGTCGTGTAATACTTTACTAGAGATTTACTTGTATCTTAAATTTTATGTGTCTGAGTCAAGAGTGGATAGTCTTTTCATAGCTACTATCTTTTTTTTTCTTTTTTTGGAGAGGTTTTTGCTATAGGGTGCGTGCGTTCGCCAGAGAGAGAGAGACATAGAGACAGAAAGCGAGAAATCACCCCCCCAGGATGGTCATGCCGCAATCCCTTCTCCATTCTCCTCTTGGGATCTTGGGCATGCACGCACACGCGCCCGACGTGATTTTAAACATGGTCAACTATGTGGGAGTCCAGCGACATAGCCATTATGCTAACTGCTGGTCCCGCTACTATCTTATTAACATATTGTCTAAAAGTGCAGATTTGGGTCATAGTAAATGAAGTCCCTGATTTTTCTAGACTTTATGTTACGAGGTTTTTTTCTATGTGGATATGTAGCTTTTACTGAAACCCTACATTGAAAGTTATTTGGGATATTTAAATGTTCTGTTTCTAGTCTTACTATTGACATTTTAGTTAAAGAAGTGGATAAACTGGTAAAGTTTTGTTTTATAATTGTTATGTCCTGTTACTTTTTAAATATTTAAATAGAGTACATTACTAAACTAATGTTTTTATTTTCTGAAAAGTGTATTTAGTAGAAAAAGACTTAGAGAATGTGAGGGGTTTTAATATTTTTGTATGAAGAATCTGTCAGTTACATGTAAATGGACCTAGATGCTTTTCTTTCTCTTTCTTTCCTTAGAGAGTCCCCCAAATACATTCAGAAACCAATATCTTATAATTGCAGTGACTTGGATCAATCAACTGTGACTGAGGAAACACCTGAGGGTGAAGAACATCCAGTGGCAGACACTGAAAATAAGTAAGTGGTTGTATGTATAATAGAAATGTTCTGACATTGAAAGCAGTATGAGTTTTTGCAAGTAAGATAACCCATAGGTGTAATGGTGTTTACTTGATGGCTGTTAAAAAAAATTATTTAACTTTATTTATTGTAATTTGACCAGAGAAGGACAGAGCGAGAGGGGGTGGGGTGAGAAAGCAAGCCTCCGGGTCCAGGACTCTAACCGTGCCTTTGGCCATGTGGGAGTGCAGCATCTTTAACCATACTACCTGCCAGCCCCCTTGATGGCTTTTTTTTTTTTCTTTTTAAGGGGTTTTTGTTATAGGGTTCCTGCGCTCACCAGAAATAGAGAGAGAAAGCGAGAAATCACCCTCCAGGGCGCATTCCCTTCTCCATTCTCCTCTCTGGATCTTGGGCACGCACACACACACCCAGCATGAGTTTAAGCCACTGAGTTCAGGACTCAACCGCAGTTGACTATATGGGAGTTCAGTGACATAGCCAGTACGCTAACTGCTGGTCCTCACCCCCACCTCCCATGGCTCTTTTTTTTTTGAGAGAGGTTTTCACTATAGGGTGTGTGTGTTCGCCAGACAGAGAGACATAGAGACAGAAAGCGAGAAATCATCCCCTAGGGGGGATGGTCACGCCACAATCCCTTCTCAGTTCTCCTCTCGGGATCTTGGGCACGCACACACGCACGCACGCCCAGCGTGTGTTTATGCCACCGGGCCCAGAACACAAACTGCAGTCGACTACGTGGGAGTCCAGCGACATAGCCATTACGCTAACTGCTGGTTCCCCCGATGGCTTTTTGACAAGAGAGATATTTATTGTATCTCATCCCTCAAGAAGAATGCTTTTTTATACATGTGTATATTTAGCTCCAATGGTTTGAAATATCAGACACTTTAGTGTGATTGTTTCTGCTTGATTAGTCACTTTATCATCATAAATCTTAAAAGCTAAAGAGTGTAAATGTTTTATTAAAACCTGATATTCCTGACCACAGAATTGACCTAAGGAACCTGAAAATGGGGAATAGGAATAAAATCCCATGTATCTGAACTTACCTCATTTGGTAGGAAAGTTGTAATGGGTAATTTTGATACTGGGTTGTCAGAAAAGTCATGATGCATGACTTTTCTGACAACCCAATATATTGGTAAGCTGTCCTATCTTGAAGTATCAAACAGGTGGGAACTGGAAGCTGAAGGTGGAGATTATTGAAAATTAGACCCATTGTTAGAATAAGAACTTACAGAATTTAGAATTCATAGTTCAAAATCCATTTGACATTTAACGACTGTGCACTTTATTTTGAAGCAGCTTAAAACTACTAAACATGATCATTTTAAGAGTATTTCTGTCTCAAGTTTTTTCAGTATCAACATAGAATTTTGAACATAGCATTCTTGGCTTCTCTTAAATATGCGAGAAGATCAGAGAATGTTATTATTAGTTCATTAGTTTTGTGGGGTTTTTTAATTACATTCATTTTTTGAGTATAGATAGAAGACTTGGATTTAATGTTTTTTGTTTATGGTAAGAGGGAGTTGGAGCTGGCAGGTGGTACAGTGGTTAAGGTGCTGGATTCCCACATGTCTGACCACGGATTGAGTCCTGGACCTGGAGCCTTGGTTTTCTACTTTCTCTATCTCCCTGGTCAAATAATAATGATGATGATAAATAAATGTAATAAAATATTTTTTAAAAGAAGTTAGGGAATTGTTTTCAAGTTAAACTGGTAGAAGTAATTTGTTAACAGTATTTGGGTTTAAAGTCTTTGCACATCATTTAGAGCTTTGATTCTTAACCAGAGCATATTAAAATCAGGGAGGGATGCTTTCCAAACTTCTTTAGGAAGCATTTGGTCTTATGGCTAACCACTATTAACGATGGGATTATCATTCTGAGAGTTTGCTGGGATAAGAAAAAATGGTTTACTATTATGAGTGAGAAAATAAAATACATGATGTCTTACACTTGATAATATAAATTAATTTATATGAAACTATGTATGAAATCATAGTTTTGCGTGGTAAATAGTGAATTTAAGATTGGTAGGTTATGTGAACTGTGTATAAGAGAAAGCACCCTGTAATACTCAACACACCTGTTCCTCTAATGAAGAGCCCATATTTGAATCACTTTCAGAGTGACCTGCCAAATTTATAACTTTTTTACCAGAAGGAAATGATGGGTAGATAAGGATATTAGAAGCAAGTGTTTGACTCAGGATCCAAAAATGAAGTTGGGGATATTTGGTCTGAAGAAGATGATAAACACATTAGAAAATCTCTACTCTTCAGAGTAGGGGAGAATCTTAGTCTTACACTGTTTTGTATATGAAAGTACAAAGTTGAGAAGAAAAACTGATAGTTTCTAGAGTTTCTTGGTTCTCATTTATCTTTATAGCAACCCTTGAAGGTAGTTGTGATGCCTTTATGATGTGATAAGAAGGTATGCCGAGTTGTGTTCCTGGCTGTGTCACAACCTAGGAATAACTTACTTTTTTCTTTTCTTTTTTTTCTTAGGATTCTTAGTTTCTTGTCTGTAAGCATATACAAAGATGGGCTCAATAACCATGATCCCATCAATTCAATGAAACTTGGTCTAGGAAGATTTAAGATAGGATTTGTCAGATTTGTCAAACAGTAAAGAGTGGCATCAGGGGAGATACTTGAACTCTTAAGGCTGACTGAATCACCTGCTATCTTTGGAAAGAAGCAGGGATCCCAGAATAGCAAATGAGTTGTTTGGTGACAGTTGGAAATTGGAGTTGGAAATTGAGATTAGACTAAAATAATGGATTTCTATCTCTGGTTTGTTTTTATAAAACAAAGGTAAAGGATGCCATTTAAAGACAATCTGAGGATTATATTTGGGGAATAATTTGGTATTAAATATTTAAGCTAGTATTTTGTGGACTTTTCCATTACTATCGAAAACTTGAGGTCCTATGCGTAATAAAGGTTGGTTTGAAAGTTGAAATATATAGACTTTAGGATTTGTAGAAACTTGGCTTTTGTTTTGTGTTGCCTTGCGTGCTAGTTGCAGAAATAAAGGATAGTCGTAGTACATTCTGGAATGTTACTTACAAGCATCTTAGATTATTATCTTCATATATATTATGAGTTATGTACTGTTGGAAATTATGGAAAAAGTATTTTAGAAGATAGGTCAAGGATTTTGATCACAAGCAGGTACAGCTTTAAGTTAATTCAGTTTTTAAAAATATACATTTTAGCATTGGTAACACCTGTGCAAATTTGTACTACCGGTAAGAATTGAAGAGTTTATGGAGATAGCTTGTATTTGTATTCTTTAGTTACCTGTATTTTCACTAATCAACAAGCACTGAATTTCTGGTCTCTGCCCAGTTGCATATTAGCCAGAGGATTACACAAAAAATTATGAAACACTCATCCTTGGGTAATCTTACTAGCCAAGATTAACTTCCTTACTGAAAATCTTAAGTTTGTGATTTTTATGCAAATTTATTGGCTTTCTACTGGGTATGAAACTTAACTCATCTTTTTATAGGGAAAATGAGGTTGAAGAGGTAAAGGAAGAGGGTCCAAAAGAGATGACTTTGGATGAGTGGAAGGCTATTCAAAATAAGGACCGGGCAAAAGTAGAATTTAATATTCGGAAACCAAACGAAGGTGCTGATGGACAGTGGAAGAAGGGATTTGTTCTTCATAAATCAAAGAGTGAAGAGGTAAGTTTTGTGTTGAAATGTTCAAGCGTAATTAGACTTGTACTTAGAGTTCTTTGCTTTAAATTTCACATGAACAGACTGTTCAAAGAAAAGTCTTTACATAGGATCATTTAGGGCAGATAACTTGATTGAAAAGGAAAGTAAACTGCAGTACCATATTTTACAGGATGTGTAGCCCTTCTGTCAGTCTATAGTTAAATTTAATGTAATGATATTTTGGTTTGAGGGGAGTGGGTAATTGCTGGAGGGAGGGCCATGGTCATGCCATAATCCCTACTCTATTTCTTTATGCTGTTGGGATTTGGGGCACGCACAAGCCCAGTGTACTTTGTTTAGTCACCAGGACAGGACTCAAACCTCAGTGCGGCATATACGTATAGGTTCCTGCTCCCTTAACCATGAGGCTACAGGACTGGCCTAGTGTTTTTCCTAAAAAGTTGTTCGTCAATGATTTGTCATAAAATTATTAGTGTTTTAGAAAGTGGTAGTTTGAAGTTGTTAAATTTTAAAATCTCACCTAAGTGAGAGTCATAAAAGACTGTATTAGGTTGAAATGGCATCTTCATATGGTTTAACCTAAAAAGAAAAAGTGGTTTTGGGTACCAGCAGGTAGCGAAATGGCTATGTCGCTGGACTCCCACGTAGTCGACCGCGGTTCGCGTCCCAGGCCTGGTGGCTTAAAACCCATGCCGGGCGTGTGTGCATGCGTGCCCAAGATCCCAAGAGGAGAATAGAGGAGAAGGGATTGCGGCGTGGCCATCCTCTCTGGGGGGTGATTTCTCGCTTTCTGTCTGTCTCTCTGTCTGTCCGGCGAGCGCACGCGCCCTATAGCGAAAACCTCTCAAAAAAAAAAAAGTTGTTTTAATTAGTAATCAATAATTTTGGAACTCTGCCTATGACACGCATAATGGTCATAACTTTAATGTCCTTTATTGAGGTGTGTTGCCTTGTAAAAATCTAAGAATTATTAATTCCTTTACTTTGGAAGCATGAAAATATTTTCTAAAGTTACACTGGTGGCTTCGATTTGGTATTTTTTGTTCAATCCTGGGGGCATGTTTAAGGAACGTCCATATGCTGCATTTTATTAGGACTTAAGTGTGAGATGTTCTCATGGCTTTAGCCAAAAAAAAACATTGTTTGTTTTAGTATAGTTTTCTTTATTTTTTTTCTGTAGGGTACATGTACCCTCCAGAGAGGGGAAGAAATGAGAAATCACCCCCAGGAGGGATGGCCATACCACATTCTCTTCTCCCTTTTCCTCTGGGGATTTTGGGCACACAGGTGCACACAAATGCACTCCTAGCATGTTTTTCAAGCCCCTGTTCTGGGAATTGAACCATATAGTTGGGCATCTGGGATGCAGCTTCCATAGCCTCAACACTATCTGCTGGCTCTAAATTTTTTCTTCTATCAGTTTATTTAATCTTTTGATTTATGTTGGATGTATGTATGTTATAGTTGGCCCATGCCAGAAATTCATAGTATCGATTGTATCACCTCAAATTAAAGTTAACTTAAAATGTTTGGAAGGGATCCTGTGATTCAAAGATTTAATAAGATTAAATACAGTTACTTTTCTAAGCATAATATTGACTGTAAGGCAAATTTAGTTTAAAATAAAATTAAGGTTAAAAATTTTTTAGGTTTAGAGAAGAGGTTTATAGTACTCCATAAAACCTGTGAGGACATTGTATTACTGTCAGGTCCAGATAAAAAAATGTTCATCGCTTCAGAACACGTTTGGTTTTTTGTTTGTGTTTTGGTTTTGTTTTCTTGTAGATAAAGTTGTTAGTGTGTCCAAAACAATGGAATTCATGATTTAAGAACCATGAAAGTTCATCTTGGGAAGATTGTTCATTTCAACTAATTACTAAACTGCCTAGGTTAATATGAAAAAGATTTACCTAGGTTCTTTTAGTATAATTATTTTCTTTGTAGATTTTGTGGTGGGAGGCTCATCTGGTCTTTTTCTCAGAACAAAATACATTCACATATAAAATTCTAATTGTAATTATGAGTGATTCATTAATACATAAGTGTGTTTTTTAGACTTCAGTTAGGTATCCCCAGTATCATTTCACGCTGATTTTTGCAGGATAGCTATTTTGCAAGGTACTGTATATAATCAGGAATTTTTGAAAATTACAAACTGTAGAATTGGTTGTGAATAACTTTGAAATAGAACATTTTCATTATCAATCACTTTTACATGTATGGGCCCTTAAAGTTACTGCACTTTGGTGATACAGATAATTATTTAAATATGGCCCTTTGGAATGTATGGTAGTATCATTTAAATGTTTGCTTTTGCGTATCTTTATCCCAATGACAGATAGAAGAAGTTAGGAGAAAGAAGAAATGTAACTATTAGAATAGAAGAAATGTAACTTTATTGGAAATGGAGAACTTCATTACTATGTTATTTTTAAATCTTCTTTAGAGAAAAACAAGTGCCTTCAACAGGATCTCATCACTCTTAAATCCTCTACCCCTCTAGCCAGCAGTCATTGTTGACCCAGGACTCAAACCAGGCAGTCTTCTATGTGGCTCCATTATAGAATTACAGTATTATTTATTGACGGCTGAGATAAGAGATTCTGTTTCATCCTTTCACTATTTGCTCCTGAAGTCTTTAAAATGGATTGGCTTGGCACAAGGAGATGATATTTAATTTGGGCATGAAATGATGAAAAGAGTAAAAACTTGAATACAGAAAAACAAAATTTTTCCATTGCCAGAGGGCAGCATGTAAGCTTGCCAGAGAACAAGGTGAAAGCACCCCCTAGAGGGGTGTGGTCATGCTGCATTCCCTACGCCATCCTCCATCTCATAAGGATTTAGGGTCGTATGTGTAAGTTGGTGTGTTTTTCATGCTGCCAGGGCCAAAATTTGAACTGTTGTCAGTCATGTGGGATCTGGCTTCCTCAACCCCTACGCTATGGAGCTAGCCCAGAAATCAAAAAAATTGTTCTTTAGAAAGTAGTATTAACAAATCTAATATTGCAGGTGGGTTAGAATGAACAAAATGATCATTATCTTTTTAGAAAAACAGCAAGATTATACAGTATGTGTCTTCTGAAAAGGATTTTTTTTTTTTTTTTTAAGATTGTCCCAGGATGCATGTACTCACCAGAGACAGGGAAAGTGAGAAAAGCACTTCCCCAGAGGGTTGGTTACCTGCAGTCCATTCTCCTCTTGCGATTTTGGGCACTCATGCACATGGAGCCTGGTTTGTTTTTCAAGTGCTGGGCCCAGGAATTGTGCTGTCAGCCATGTAAGATTCAGCCACCCCAAACACCATGCCACTAGCTGGCCCAACAATATAGTTTTAATTAGTATAAGCAAAGTTCCCAACTGGAAGATTTAAAAACTCCTTCATCCCAAACATACAAGAATAAATTGGGGATTAATCAGTATAAAATTCTCTGACTTTTGGGGGACACACAATGACATCATTTTTAAAAAGGAAGGCTTCATTACACATTTGCAAGATTACCCTCTTGTATAAAGTGTTTGACTTGAATTTGTAGCTTTCCTCTTTATAAGGATGAGCCAAACACAGCTGACCTTAAATGGCATGGGGATTAAACACTGCGACCACCATCAGGACCCCAGGTTTTCTAGCCAGCCAGGATCACGGGCACTCTTGCATGCACCCCTGGTAAATACAGGTCTGCTTATGAATCAAACTCCTGTCTTCCACATGGCTTCCTGTGTTGCAGAGCACTCTGCTATCATTGCATCACTATGGCTAAGTTTACGTGTAATCTTGACTTTCCCAAAACTTTTTATACTCTACTCTTGGCATGAAGTCTTACTGATAATAAAATCGATAAATGTATTTTTTTTTATTTTATTATTATTTTTTAAAGAGATTTTTGCTATAGGGCGTGTGTACTTGCCAGGAAGACAGAGACAGAAAGCAAGAAATCACCCCCCCGGGGGGGGGTGGTCACTTCACAATCATTTCTCCTCCATTCTCCTCTCAGGATCTTGGGCACGCATGTACATTCACTAAGTGTGAGTTTAAGCCACCAGGTCCAGGACTTGACCCACAGTCAACTACATGGGAGTCCAGCGATATAGCCATTACACTAACTGCTGGTCCCAATAATGTATTTTATATGCATTATACACTATTATAATAAGTAAGCCAAAAGGGAATTAAAATCACAGTAAGGGAAATCGATTTGTACTATCATATTTTCTGATGTATTAAAAATACATGTGTAGGGACCAGCTGGTGGTATGGTGGTTAAGGCGCTGGACACTCCCACGTGGCCAACCACAGTTCAAGTCCCAAATCTGGTGGCTTGCTCTCTCTCTTTCCCTCTCTCCGTCTCTCTCTGTCTCTCTTTTCTTTCCCTCCCTCCTTCTCTGTCTTTCTCTGGTCAAATTAGAATAAATTAATGAATAAATAAAAATTTTAAAATACATGTATATTAATAGACCTGTATAGTTCAAGGCCCTTCTAGGGGCCAGGTGTTGATGGAGAAGTAGAACTCGGTGCCTGCAAAACTGACCAAAATGGTGAGGTTTTTGGGTCGTATCTTTGATCTTTGTCAGGAATTCACATTGAAGTCTTTTTCTTTTTTTTTTTTCTCTCTCTCTCTCTTTTTTTTTTTTTATAGAGATAATTGCTATAGGGTGTTTGTGCACACTAGGGAGACATAAAGTGAGAAATCACACACACACACACCATGGATGGCCATGTCACAGTCTCTTGGGACTTGGAGCACCCAGGCACATGTTCCTGGTGTGAGTCTTAAGTTGTTGGATCTGGGACTTGAACCACAGTCAAGTATGTGGTTTTACCAGTGACATAACTTTTATGCCATCTGCTTGTCCCATATTGAATTCTTAGTCTACAGAGCATAAGTTAAATGTTCTTACCCAAATTTACTACCAGTAATTATTACTCAGTAGGTTTGGGATTGAGACTTAGCCATTTGGATTATGATTATATACTTTAAGGGAGGATTGTCAATATCACCTGCAGTTTAGAGGAATCTTAGAGAACAGTGAAGGGAATTCCCTCTCCAAGATCTCTTGCCGAGTTCATTAGCTATAGAGGTGATAATACATTTGTTCATACAAAGTACAATTTGGATTTGAGTCCTTTTAGGAGTAAAATGATTATTTAACATTGCTTTCCTGTTAATTGCCCAGTGCCTTTTGCTTACATTTTTAGGCTCATGCTGAAGATTCAGTTATGGACCATCATTTCCGGAAGCCAGCAAATGATATAACATCTCAGCTGGAGATCAATTTTGGAGACCTTGGCCGCCCAGGACGTGGTGGCAGGGGAGGACGAGGTGGGCGTGGGCGTGGTGGACGTCCAAACCGTGGCAGCAGGACCGACAAGGTAATTTTAAGACTACTACTACTTTTTTAAGTAATTCAAGGACATCTGGTAATTTACTGGCTAGTTCTTTTTGGGAATATAAAAAGTAGAGAAGAAAAGTTAGTCATATCTTTAAGAAACTATAGATTATATTTTTTCTTAAAGCAGTTAACTGTTTGATGCTTTTGTTTTCAATTAAATGGAGAGTGAAAAATAGGGAAAGCAAGAAATCACTCCCCAGGGGGAAATGGCCATACCGCAATTCTATACCAGTTTCCTCTCAGGATTTTGGGCAGTCACACACATGTGCCTGGCATAATTTTTATGCCACTGGGTTTTGGCCTTGAATCTTGCAGTTGGCCATGTGGGATCCAGCACATTAACCTCTGTGCTACCTGCTAATCTAATGACTCTTTGAATGGTGGTGTTTTTCTTTCAAGAGGTTTTTGCCTTTGGCTGTGTATGCTTGTTGGAGAGAAATCACCCCCTAGAGGGCAATGGCCACTCCTTTCTCCATTCTCTCAGCAACTTGGGCATTCATGCATGCACCCGGTGTGAGTTTTAAGACACTGGGTCCAGGACTTGAACCGCGATTAGCCAGGTGGGAGTCCAGCCATGTAAATGCTACGCCGTCTTCTGGCCATTGAATAGTTTTGTTTAATTGCATGTTAAAGTGTTACAGTGAGTTAAAATTACTACACTTTTTTAAATTTTTAGGTGCTAGTCGTGATACTATGCTAGTTATTTTATATACTTTTAATTACTTAATTTTTGTCAGTCTGATATCCCCATTTTACAGATGGAAAAATTCAGATACAGAAAATCAAGTTAATTTTTAACCTTTGCTAAGGCGTACCTGAAGTATCAAATTTTTTTAAAGAAAATTTCTCACTATTTAGGTTTTGACGGAACTTGTCTTGATTTTTTTTATTTTCCAGACTCTTCTGTGAGAGCTGGGATTCATTTTTGTCATACTTTTGTAATCTGATCTTTTACAGTGTGTGATACAAAGCTTTTTTTTCTTTTTTTTTTTTTTTTTTGTAGAGGTTTTTTGCTATATGGCACGTGCACTCGCCAGAAAGAGAGAGACAGCGAGATGGGCATGCGCTGGGTGTGAGTTTAAGCCACCAGGTCTGGGACTCGAACTGCGGTCAACTACATGGGAGTCCAGTGACATAGCCATTACGCTAATTGCTGGTCCCACAAAGTATATTCTTTTCTCTTTTTTTTTTTGGAGAGGTTTTTGCTATAGGGCGTGTGTGCGCGCCAGACAGAGAGATAGAAAGCGAGAAATCATCCCCCCAGGGGGGATGGCCGTGCCGTAATCCCTTCTCCATTCTCCTCTCAGGATCTTGGGCACACAGGCACATGTGCCCCGCGTGAGTTTAAGCCACCAAGTCCGGGACTCGAACCGTGGTCAACTACGTGGGAATCCAACTGCTGGTCCCAACACAAAGTATATTCTTAATGAAATAATTTGACAGGTGTTTAAGAAATGGATAGATAGTATTCCAGTCTGATGCCAACCAACATCTATGTCTGTAATGACTATATATTATTAAACTAAAATATTAGAGGTAAACCTGGGTTTTTGTTTTTGTTTTTTTTTTTAATGAACCAGTTTGGAAACCAAGTTTTTCTGAATTTTCAATATGTGATTGACAAATTTGGGGGCCTTGATTGTATCTGTCGATATTCGATAATAGTGATAATAGTACAGATTGCTATGGTTATCAGTGATAGTGTAGTATATTGTTTATTCTGTTGACAGTATTTTACTGTGAACGTTACAGATGCGTTGTTTTTCGTTTTGCTGTTATTTATACTTTAGGGTATAAATAGTAATTTGACCCCTTTCTAAGACTGATGAGTGTGCTGCTTAAATAGTTTGAGTGTTCAGCTACTGTGTCAGATGCCAAAACACTACTCAGCAGGCTGGTACCCCTGGGAGGCTTGGGCTCAGTTCCTGGTTCTATCTAAATCACAAGCACAGAGCCATGCACCTGTAGTCCCAGGGACTTGGGAAGCTGAGTCAGGAAAACTGACATAGCAAGACCCTCTATTTAAGAATAACCATGGGTTTCTTAGCCTGCTTTCACATTGATGTAGTAGGAAAAGTAACAATACCAAACACAGAAGAGTCTATGTACATATCTCATGTGAGTCTCCTTGTGTGATTACTAAAACAAAACAGAAATTCAGGACCAAGACTCATTACAAGTATTTGTAGTCCTATTCTGATTCATAATGTTGCCTTTAACTTTTAAGATATTTTATAATTCTGTGTCTAAATGTAGATATTGGCCGTGTATCTTGTTCAAGATTTTAAAATAGTGGTTAATTTGGATTTGTTTCTTTTTTAGTCAAGCGCTTCTGCTCCTGATGTGGATGACCCAGAGGCATTCCCAGCTCTGGCTTAACTGGATGCCATAAGACAACCAACCCTGGTTCCATTGTGGACCCTCTTGTTCAAAGCTTTTGCATGCTTAAGGATCCCAAACGACTAAGAAATTTAAAAAAAAACAAAACAAACAAAAAAAGGGGACTGTCATTCATACCATTCACACCTAAAGACTGAATTTTATCTGTTTTGAAAATGAACTTCTCTCGCTACACAGAAGTAACAAATATGGTAGTCAGTTTTGTATTTAGAAATGTATCGGTAGCAGGGATGTTTTCATAATTTTCAGAGATTATGCATTCTTCATGAATACTTTTGTATTGCTGCTTGCAAATATGCATTTCCAAACTTGAAATATAGGTGTGAACAGTGTGTACCAGTTTAAAGCTTTCACTTCATTTGTGTTTTTTAATTAAGAACTTAGTTGTTCCCCCGATTACAAACTGGTTTTAAATATTGGACATTACTATCGGTTTTAATACCTGCTTTGCATTTTCACACATGGTCAACTGGGACATGTAAACTTTTGATTTGTCGACTTTTATGCTGTGTGGAATACTAACTACTTTATGTATTTTAACTTAGTTTTAATATTTTCATTTTTGGGGAAAAATCTTTTTTCACTTCTCATGATAGCTGTTATATATGCTAAATCTTTATATACAGAAATATCAGTACTTGAACAAATTCGAAGCACATTGGTTTATTAATCCTTTCTCCTGCATGGTTCATTTGGTTCAAAATGTACCTGATTCACAGTTTCAACTACATTTACTTTTTAAATGTATGACCTTCCTATTTTAAAAGCCAAACTAGACACCTTATTGGTGAAAGTTGTTTAAACTACTTATTTGTTGATAAACACATCCTATCAAGCGAAGTAGTTTATGGATGTGGATTGTTCTCTCCCACCAGCATGGTGGGTAGATAGCGTAAGGTGATTTGGCTCATGCCTAATACTGTTCTCCAAAATAGTGGCCACTAGGTGTGATGTGCGTGGGAAAGACCCCGAAATCAAAATGGTACATTCGAACAACCCTTTTAACCCTTGTTCTGAGGAAACCAAAGGGCACTTGGTCAGTAGGGTGAGATGGGGGAGTATTTTTATTTTGGGAATTTGGGAAGCCAACAGCTATACTTTATAAGATTGAAACATCTGCACCATCCGTGAAATATAAACCAAAAATCTTATTGTTTCTGAATTTCCTATATTGCTATTATTTGGTCTTAAGTTGATAGGTGAATGTTTGTTCCACAGGAGGTGATAAGAATCTTTTTCCCTTTCCTCCATTAGAACATTAGGCTAATAGTGAATTCTTTAAATGGGAGCATCACCACTTACTGAAACATACATGGAGAGAATGATAAATCAACAGGTTTTCTAGGATTTTTTTTGCCACATTGTTGATAAATTTTATTTGAAGTTTTAAAGATATTTTGTCACTTAATTTTTAGTGATTTTCTGCCTATGTATGGTAATGCCCAGTTTTAAAAAATTGGCCATCTTAACTTTTAAATATGTCTGCTACTTAGCTGACTGGTTCTCACATATACTCCTTAAAGAGGAATTGTACAGTACAAGAGTTATTCGTTTGGATTAGATTTATTAATCTAGTTATCTGCTAGTCTGAAGGAAGGAAAGTTAATTGTTTTCTAATGATGGATAAACTTGTCCTGGTGTTTTGGATCTTATGATGCTGAGCATGTTCTGCACTGGTGCTAATGTCGAATATAATTTTATATTTACAAACATACCTGCTACCCAGAGGCAAGTATTAATTTAGTCCATTAGGACTATTGACCCCTCTTGAGATTGCAACATACACACTCCGAAATCAGTGTGTTTAGACTTTGAAGTATCTAACTCATTTTTGAACATGTAACATGTTTATAAAGCTCTTATTTTCCAGCAGCATATTATAGGAATACCTGCTATTAAAAGTACTTCACAAGTTCTCACTGTCAGCCATTGCTGTCACTAGAGAATATACAGCAATATCTGGTATGTTGCAAGCTTTCAAGATAGCCTGAACTTTAAAAAAGTTGGTCCATTAGTTGTATCTGATGGATGTTAATTTGCCTCGTAGTTCACTTTGTGTCAAGAGCTAAAACTGTGAACCTGATTTTCTTTTATTGGTGGGTAATACCTGAAAATAAAGATTTATTTTCATGCTCACTTTTTAAAAGTCATAAAAACAATCAAACAGGAGCCCATTTATCGTCATGTGTTTCCTGGTTTCTGACCTGTGTGTGCATCCCGAAGATAATGTTCATTCTGCATTTTTAAGTTAGATTTTATGTGAATTTTTTTGCTGATAAAACCTGGCCGTAACATCTGGGAGGGATACCTATTTTAATGACTGTCATAATTGGGAACTTGAATTTGTACAATACGTATTTCAAGGGCTGACATGGCAACTGGTATTTCTTTTAACAAATCGCTTTCTGAACTTGAAAGTTAATCCACCTGAATGCCACTTTCTGTTGACACACTGGATATGATATTCTAAAAAGAAAACCTTCTAATGGATGACAGATGTCTAAAATAATGGTGGGTGGTGTTTTAGTGAGTTTTTATCATGATGCTTTTAATTGGCAATGATATCAGATCTGAATTGTTAAGGATATTTGCAACTTACATAGAAGCATTAGGGTATCTAGTTTATTAGTTACACTATTTTGAGACCTGTGGAGTTAGGAAGTATTTTAAATGTATATTGGAACTATACACTAAATCCTTTACTCAAGTTTTTAAAGTTTTTTTTGTTGTTGTTTTTACTGGAAGCAGGACACATCATCTTCAGGGCTTTAAATATATTTAGGGCTTATTTTTCTTTCTTTTTAAAAAAGATTTTGGCTGTGGGGCATGTGCACTTTGCCAGAGTGACAAAGAGAAACACCCCCCCTCCCAGGGGGCTGTATGGCTGCACCACAATCCCTTCTCCATTCTCCTCTTCGGATTTTGGGCACATGTGCCTAGCGTGAGTTTTAAGCCACTGGGTCCAGGACTTGAACGCAGTTGACTATGTAGGAGTCCAGCAACATAACCATTATGCTATCTACTGGCCTCATTTGGGACTTATTTTTCTTTTGAACTTAGAGAAAGAATATGTATTGCAATGTTTTTCTAATTGTTAGAAATTATTTGCTAAAATAAAGTTATAGGAAGTTGCATACAAACTCTATTATAGTTTGTCAGATTTTAAAAATACAACTTGAAGAGAACACTAGCATGTGGAAAGAACCAACAGTTATTAAAAGATTTTGAAAAAACTTGAGAAATTGAGGCAACTAGTACTCAACTAATGTAGACTTTAGATAAGCACATATGCAGACGTGTTAATAGGCATGTAACCTGATGTTGAGTTAACTGATACAGCAAATTCTGGGGCTCTTTGGTACATGAATTTCTTTATGAAGTAAAAGCTTAGAAGGTAGATTCTAGCTCAAGCATTAGTAATCATATTAACTAGTAAGTAAATCCATATTTAGCAAGTCTGAACACTTACAAGCCAGATCTCCTAATTAACAGCCCAGAAACTCAGTTACTTCTGTGCTTTGCAGGATATATCTAGTAAAAAGCAATGAAATGATAACCTAATTGAACTCCTTGACTCTAATGAATGAACTAGTTTATCAACATTAACAAGGTGAATTGTCAGAATTTATTCAGATTTAGTAGTAGTGGCAGCTTTGAGAGATTTGGTGTCAGTTACTTTGCTTAGTAGTGCCTTGGGTTTACCTTTAGTATGTTTTGACAAATTGGAAGTTACGATTAATATATTCTGAAAGCTCTTAAGTACAGTTTAAATCTGTAAAAGTGATCTTAATGTCATGATTTTATGTGTTCCACATTTAGTGACATTTCTCAAATCTCTTGGTGTTAAATCTCTTATTGTCATGCACTGGTCTTTCCCTGAGATGAGAATTCTGAATATATAGTTAAGAGTGTGTCTTAACTCCATAGGTGACGTGGGGCAGGAATTAATGACTTCTCAGAGCTTAGAATACCCATTTGAGCAGAATTTAGCTTTTGTGTTTTTGATTACTTCTCTACTGAATAACCGTGAGTCAGTTGTTTACTTCTAAATGGAAGGGAAAGGTGAAAAATGGGGCGTAGTTAGAAAACACCAAATTACATTTTTGAGATTTTTGGTGTTTTAAATTTGTGATGTTCATTTTGTTGCCTGTTCAAGAGGGTCGTGGCAATTCTAGTACGCTTTTATGGATACTTCCCTAACTAAGCCTTGTGCATGGAAGACATAGAAAGGTACCCAACAACTGATTCGTTGCAGGCTATAAGAAATCCATTTAGATAATTGGTTCGTTCCAGGTGATCACACTGTTAGTTACACTGTACTAACCTCATAGTGATTTTATTCCTCTAATGGGGTATGTGTTACCGGTATGGAAATGTGTAAAATGAAGGGCTAGTATTAAGATTTTTCTTAAGTTAGAGCTTCTGAAATCTGTGTGGAAAGTTTAGATTAGTTAAAGCCATTCTCAGGATGTCTTTTGGTCATTAACTGTAATGGGAGAAAACCAATATACCTAGCATGTATACTTGGTGTTCCTCACATGAGCAGTGTACCTTGGAGATTGAGTGGGATGTAGTCAGTGTCTATCAATGAAATCTAGTAGGTTGATTTTTTTTTTTTTTTGAGAGAGAGATTTTTGCTGTACAGCACGGGAGCTCACTGGAGAGACAGGGAGAATCATACCCAGGGAATGGGGGGGATGGTCACACCACAATCCCTTCTCTACTTTCCTCCCAGGATCTTGGGCACATACACAACATGTACCTGGCATGAGGTTTAAGCCACCCCGTCCGAGACCAGCACTGTAACCTTATGCCATCCACTGGTCCTAATTTTTAATAACAATGGACTGTATCTTGAGCCAAAAGCTAGGACTGGAAGTCATGTTGACTGAAGTAGAGGAAGTTGCTTTGGATGCTGTGTAATGTGAAAATACACCATTTGAGAAAACTACTGGGAAACATGGACAGTATTAAGAGAAAAATTGCCAATAAGCTCAGAATAATCAGCACTATCCAGTTACAGAAGATCGTGGATGTTATTTTTCAGGTTCATCAGTCTTGCTACTAAGGTGTTTTTTTTGTTTGTTTTGTTTTGTTAGAATTATTTAACTTATTTATTTATTTAAATTTGACCAAAGAAGGACAGAGTGAGAGAAAGGGAAAGCAAGCCGCCAGGTCCAGGACTGGAACCACAGTCAGCCATGTGGGAGTATAGCACCCTTAACCACACCACCTGCCAACCCCTAAGGGTTTTTAAACTTTAGATTTTTAGGGAACCAGCAGTTAGCGTAATGGCTATGTCGCTGGACTCCCACGTAGTCGACCGCGGTTCGCGTCCCGGACCCAGTAGCTTAAAACTCACGCCGGGCGCATGTGCGTGCGTGCCCATGATCCCGAGAGGAGAATGGAGAAGGGATTGCGGCGTGACCATCACCCCTGGGGGATGATTTCTCGCTTTCTGTCTCTATGTCTCTCTCTGTCTGGCAAGCGCACGCGCCCTATAGCGAAAATTTCTCTCAAAAAAAAAACACTTTAGATTTTTAGAGGAAAAGTTTTTATTTGAAGTTGCATCTAGTAGGAGAAATGACTTACTGATTTTGATTATCTTTGTAAGTAATTTTAATTTACTAGAATAAATAGGTAAAAACATGGATAGCATTTTTAGAGAAGCCATCAGCAGCTGCTTTTGCTTCCCCGCCATACACAGACCAGAGGAGGGGTAAACTAAGGTGAACTGAATGTTTACAGAAATGCAGAGGAATCAGTTACAGTGTGTGAGAAGTGGAGAATAGACCTAGCAAACAACTGATTTCTTCCTTGTGGAGAGAAAGCAAATGGTCTTTTATTCCTTTTGTTATGTGATAAAGTAGAACTGTTTCTAAATGAAACCTTAAGTCCTATTTTCACCTTAAGAGATTTGAGAGCAGGTGGAGATTGGTATGTCCTGGCTACTTGATTGGGACTACACAAAAAAGCCTTATGAAGACACATTCTCAAAACTCATGCGCAGGGACATATATAATTGCTATTTTTATTTAAAAGATTTTTTTTAAAAAAAGATTTTTGCTATAGGGTGTGTGCACTTGCAGGAGAGACTAGACAGGAAGCAAGAAATCATCCCCAGGGGTGATGGCAGTGCCACAAACCAGTCTCAACTTGCCTGGTTTTGCTATAGGACACGTGTGTTCCCCAGAAAGACAGAGCGAGACAGAAAGCAAGAAATCACCCCCCAGGGAGGATGGCTACGCCGCAATTCATTCTCCTCTTGGGATCTTGGGCACGCACGCACACGTGCCTGGCGGGAATTTAAGCCACCAGGTCTGGGACTTGAAGCACAGTCTACTACGTGGGAGTCCAGCAACATAGCCATTATGCCAACTGCTGGTCACCAGGTTGTCTTTAATAAAGGAACAGATTTTTTTGTTACTCATTTTCGGACTTCTGAATGCTTGTGCACTACCATGCAGGCAGACACGAGAGGGTGTGTTTGTGTGTCAGTGATAAGAAAAGTCGAAGAGCATCCCCCAACAGAGGATGACCACACTGCAATCCATTCCTGGACTTGAACTACATAGTTGGCCATATGGAATCCAGACACTTTGATCACTGTGCCACTGGCTAACCCCTTCCAATTTTGAACATTTTTAGGCTTTGAACTAATGGAAATTCCCCAAAGATGAGTGTTCTTGGCTCTCCAGAGAAAATTCAGGGCTTCTGAACACAGTTCGCGAGAATCTCTGCCTTTCTAGGGTCCTATTAGCTATAGGTGGCAAAATGTCTGAAATTCGAAGAGGCGTTTTGAATCTTACCTGATAATAAGCAATGTCAATATCTCTTAATGGAAG